TCGTATGTGACCTTCTCGATATGAAACTGTGCAGATAATACCAAAAGTTGGGCAAAAAAACGAAGCAAACAAAGAAGGTGGTCGAAGCCCGGTACCAGCCTTATAATTTGGCAAGATACCTAACTACTGCGCCCTACCCTCGCAAGGTAAAAGATTATATGTACACCGAGTCGTAACCCAGGCGGCTAACGCAACGGAGTATAGGTAGGGTCCCAGTGTCGACTCGACCCATCCTTATAACCGCTATACCAAAACTGGCGTCCCAAGTGTTCTATGTCTAGTATGGACTGGGAGCGGGGTTATAAGGCTTGTGGTAGGCGCGGAGAGGGCAGGAGCGACCCTCCCTTTGCCTGTGGTAGGCGTGCCCGCCTCAACTTGGGGAGATGTGCCGGCTGCTTCCATCAGCGCAGAGTGGCACGGAGCTGAGGACCGCCCCACGACAATCGGCACAACTCGCCGGCAAGGAACGCCCAAAACGATCCGGAGATTCGACTACCACCCCATCACAGTAACGAAAGGCATCCGGGCTTAGTGATGGAAGATAAAATGCAGCTTGCAGGTTTTAACACAAGGCCACCACCTAGGCAGGTACCTAAGCCCTTTCCAAGGAAAACCAACGCTGATCCCCGCCTTTGCGCCGAATAGCCATGCCAAGGAGAAAGATTTTATAAAACGCCAGAGAAAAAGATACCCAAGGCAGCCAGCCAGCCGACCCAAAAGATAAAAAAAAAAAAGCAAACCCGTGAACGTCGTGGAACCGTCCGCTAGACCATCCCAAACAAATGACCAAAGGACACAAGACAAAAGAAAGAAGGGGAGAAGGGGAGAGGAGGAGACAAAGGAAAAAGAGGGAGGATGGACAAGAAGAGGAAAGCAAACCAAGTGAGACTCACTCAAGCAAGCAGCGCCGCTACGACGGCGCGCCGCACGACCTGCTGCTGGCTCTCGTCCAGGTACCCGGCGACGGCCTCGAGCGCGTCGGCGAGCTCGGCCTCGGAGGGTCCGCCACCTTCGGACCGCTTCTGCGGCGGCTGCTGCTGCTGCTGAACCACCTCGTTGCCGAGCTGGACGCGGTTGGCCGGCGGGGGCGGGGCTTGCCCTTGTTTTTCTTGGGCTCGCGGCGCTCGATCGTTTCGGCGGCGGCGCCTCGGTCGGTGGACCGGCCGGCGAGCACGGGGAGCGGCGGCAGTACCGGGGGACGAACGATCGGGGGACGGACGATCGGGGGACGGACGATCGGGGGACGAACGATCGGGGGACGGACGATCGGGGGACGGACGATCGGGGGACGGACAATCGGCGGCCGGCCCTTGCCCTTGTTGTTCTTCGGGGCCTCGCGGTGCTCGACCTCGGCGGCGGCGTCGGCCTCGTCGGAAGACTCACCCCTGGCGACCTCCCTGGCCGGGCGCGGGCCGCGGTGGCGGTGGCGCTCCTGCCCCGCGAAGCCACGCCACCTCTGCGCCATTTGGCGGTTGGAGGCTCCCACGTCTGGCACGATGGGGTCGCGCTGCTCGATGACTGCGCCCTCGCCGGCCCCTGACACGAATGAGGCGGGTGCGGCCGGGTACGCCAGGACCGGCATGGCGGCCGCGATGAGGAAGGCCCCGAAGGTCTCGAACTTCATCGCGTTTGTGGTTGCGTGTAAGTTAGGTTCAGTCTCTTTGTGGGGGTGTTAGTATTTGGGGCGGAAATGGCGCGGGAACACCCTGTTTGGGGTTAAACGTGGAGGAGGATGTTTGTCGCAAAGGTTGGATGCGTGTCGAAGAGGTTGGGAGGGCGAGGAAAAAAATGTTGGGTTAAATAGCTTGTTGTTATGTCGAGAGGGGTCGATGGGTGGAGAAGATAATGCTGTTGTAAGTGAGGCTGCTGTGGATGATGGAAATGGATATCAAAAACGTCGATTTGCCGGTCGGTTCGTGCTTCACTTATACCAGACCCCGATGAACATCCGACAGTAAGATGGTCGACGTGCTGCTTGTTTGTGTCACTCGAGACGCCTGCGATCGCCGCAGGCAGAAGCCAAACAGGGCCAGGGCGACTGTGCCAAGCGAGCGGGCTGGCAAGGAACCACACGCGAGCGAGCCGCAATCCGCAGCACGCCAAATGCCCGCTACTGCTCTCCGTGCCAAGGCGCAGCCGTTCCTTTTTCCGAGCAGGTATCGGATTCCATTCCCCTCGCTCATATAGCGCATGCTGTCGATCGGACTTGTAGCAATGCCAGCGTTCGCTTTCATGCGCGAGGGGCATCAATTAATTACTGTGACGCCAGACGCGCGCATATCGCTTCTGCGATCCTCCCCCGCGCGCTGAGCTGGGCCGCTAACCGTCCGACGACTGCTGCCAGCCACAACCCAGGTCAAATGTGTAGCCATCTCGAATTCAAGAGATGTATGCGAGATGCATAGTAAGTACCTACCTACCAGCCGCGCTGTGAAACAAGGGATGCGAACGCCTCGTTAAACCGATCCGAGGTCATAATTACCAAATGGGAGTAGGTAGGCTTAATTAATGCCTTGTTATTGGCATCAGGCTGGAGGGGAGGGAATGCAATAGGGAAACGAACTGCTGGGAGACGCTGGTTGTGTTTCTCGCTCTGGAGAGACAAATTAGCAAATGCCCTTTGCAGCCGCGTCGATAGTATAGCACAGTCATTCCAAATAACCATTATACAAGAAATCTTGCCGTTTATATCGCGGGAGGAGGCGTTACCAACCAGTAATTAGGTGGGAGCTTGCCGGTAAAGCTCGGTACCGCATACCCGCCCAGGAGGACAGGGACCCAGGCGTCCACAAACAGGGAGTCGGAACCTCCCTGAACCTGTAGACATTCTTCTATATACCTAGCTACCTGGATTTACAGCCAGATGGACCATAGTTTCTGTTACCGATCCATATGGCCCTTTGCAGTAATACATGTGCAAATACATCAAAAAGTACAATTACTGCGTAAACCCCGAACCAGCCCAAAGAAAACGTAGCAAAGATTAAAGATTTTGAATATGAAAGCTGCTCCGCGGACCGGGGGGCATACTCCATTAGGACCTGGAAGATAAACTTCAAAAGTAAACTCGGTGTAAAAACCAAGACGAATATCAGCATAGTCCTACTCTTTTTGCGTGAGCGTTTAATTTTTGATCGAGTGATATAGCCACGAGAAGCGGTGCCAAAAGCTCGAAAAGAGCAGGTAAAATCTGGAGACCAAGTCGCAATTGGTTTGGTCGATTAGACAGTGGGCCCTCGTATCCTATGTTGGAATTGTGGGCCTGGGATCGGACGACGCGGATAGTTAATGGTGCGTATAGAGTGATTGTAAACTGGAGGATTAAGAACACGACGCATGGTCCAAACCAAGAGTTGCTGGCGTAGCAATCGTTGGATATGGCAGTGTTTAAATCCCATTCCTTTTCGGTTGCTGCCAGTCCGACCTGTTCGGCTGTATCACTCGTCGGTATCATTGTGTCATCCCCGGAAGCGGGTGATGGTTGCCTTGTTGAGTCCGACGTGGGACTCTTGTTTAGCAGCCTGCTGAGGAAAGAGTTGCTTGCTGAGAATGCGGAGCCAACAAGGAGGAGTACCGGGAGGACTTGGCCAAAGGTGAACTTGCTTTCCTCTTCATACAGCGCCGGGCTGTACCCCCGAAGGTCAAACAGTTTCAAGGTTCCCCATAAAAGGGAAAATAGAATTGCGACAACCTTTGGCAATAAATGTAAGCTATTAGCAAGCAGGTCCCACTCTCAAAAAAAGGAGTTTGATTTAGGATAAACCCGCACCTCAAAAAGCTGAGAAGTTAAGGCGTCGGCTAGAATACGAGCCCAGTAGAACACTGCCACACAAGGCCATAGAAAGAGGCTTCTCCATAATTGCAGCCTTATAGGCGTGGACTTTGAAGGAAACGTTGAGCGGAGGAGTGTTGTAAAGACGCTTCGCAAGGCTTTACTAGCAAATCTTCGCAAAGATGAGTTGAAAGCGGAAGAAAGAGGCTTGAAAAGTTTGACAGTTCTAGTGGCAAAGACAGAAACCAAAAGAGTCATCGAGAGAATAACCTCCTGGGCAGCAAGGGTTTCTGAAAACTTGATCGATAATTCGGAGCTGATTTGGTTGAATTTGCTGAATCCATAGCTGAAGTCAAAGTAACAGATGGCACTTGAAGACATGTTGGCTGCGCTGACGGAGAAAGACGTGTTGGGATCGTAGACGAAACCGGCTGCACCGATCTTCGAGTTGATCCACGGGCCCCTCCAGTTGAAGAAAGCGGTCGGCCCAATGGCTACCAGGAGGAGCACGAGGAGCAGAAGCGACAGGGTGAACCGGAGAAGCCGCATGCGTGGGCTGCGCCGGAGGTGCGTGTGCAAGACGGAGAGGGACGCGAGGTGCACGATGATGGAGAACCACGCCAGGTTCACCACCATCTGCCAGTGGTAAGCCGAGATGGGAGGTCCATTCGGGGATCCGCACTGGAGGGAGAAGAAGCCACTGACGAGGACGGCGAGGCCGGTGAGCAGCTGCACATCGCTCATGTCCATTATGCACTGCGGTTCAAGTTGTTGCGCGGCGACCAAAAATGTTAGTGGATAGGCAAGGCGGCGGAAGTCGGACCTGTAACCCAGCGACGGGGGCGCTAACCTCGACGAAAGCCTTCTTAGCATTGCGCCACGGGCCTCTCTTGCGCCTAACCCGGCCGAGAAACCAACAATCGACACGATTTGGTCGCCACCAGTTTGCCGAGTTGTCGCTGGACATGGGGTCCGGGGCCGGTGCCCCAGGGCTGCAGGCGGCATCGCTGCTATCGGGATCGAGGGCGAAGGGGTTCGCTGTTGGGTCGAAACAAGCGAGATAGTTGCCAATGAGGAGGACCAAGACGAGACAGGCACTTCCGATGAACGAGACAATAACCTGGTGATATCAAGGAACATGTGAGCACGGTGCCTGGGAACAGGGGCAGAAAAAAGGACGTTACTCACGCCTGTGCCTGAGATGTCGCTGTAGGGCTGTAGGGGCGGGTTCTGCGAAGAATCGGCGCCACAGCACGCCTGGGGGGCCATGATGGACTCCTGACAGGTGCTGTACACGACCAGCAAAAGATGGGAAATGCAAGATGTAGCAGGTACCTAAGAAATGATGAGGAGGGAGATGCGTGTTTGGCGTGCAACTCTTCCGGTCGCGAAGGATGGGACCAGCTGGTTTAAATATCTCCAGCCCGCAATCCAAGGCCATGGACCGCTGGTAAGGCTCCCAGTAACATGCGCTTGGCACGAGGGAGGCAGCGGCTAGAGTGCGGTGCCGGCCTGGGGCGCAGCGCGCAAAGCCGGGCAACATTGCATCATGCTATGTATCAGCGATAATACCCCAAAGTCATGTTGTGTCACGTTCCTAGAGACGGGCGTAGACGGGCGCGGCTGGATTGATTGGACAGGATGCTGAAGGAAATGATACATAAAACAACGCCACGGGTGGGAAGCCTCGTTTCGGGATCATCCCCTCAGCCCATGCAGGCTACTGAGGTCTGGCCGGCTGCCTCTGCTCGCCAGCATCAAAGCGCCTCTGCTCCCTAGCATCAAAGCCGGGCGACGTGGACGCGCGGGGGCGGGAAGCGCGGAACTTTATGGGGGTGCAAGATTGAGCTGTACGGCTCGTTGCCGACGACGGGCTCAGCCGATACCGGCCGTGGGGGCTGAAAAAGACGGTGATTGGGGGCGCCGTGGCTGTTGCTCCTCCTGGGTTTGCAGCTGCCGCCAAGGGCGCGTCTCGCCGAGCCAATCACGAAGGACTGCGGCTTCCCTGCTGACGCCGCCGCCACTCCGCCTCCCGAGAGACGAAGTGCGGATTGGTAGCCCTGGAGGCGCTGCTGCTGCTGCTGCTCCGATGAACCAGCCCGAGCTGTAGTTTCCACGTGGTATATGGTGGTATATGGTTGAGCACTTTCTACAGCAGCAGGCCTGGCTTTACGGCAAACAACCTGCTGACACTATCGTGCAGGGGTGGAGGAAGGCTTGTGCTGCCCCGGGAATAGATATCGTCATACCCGGCGCTGTGGTGTAGTCATCTCCGAACTGGTTTGCTTGGGAGCCCAATATCCTCTCATTAGAGACCGGCGACTCCACCGCCCTCATGGCGTTACCAGCCGGTCTGGATCCGTATTTATCGCCGCCGCCGTCGTCCCATCTTTCAAATTTGAGGATGCAAAACCAGCGCGGCATAAGGGGCTCCGCCACCATGTCCCCGTCATCACCGTCCTCGCCAGGCCAAACTTTGCAATCATAATCGCCGTCATCGCCGCCATGGCCTCCTTCAGCGGCCTCTCGACGGAGCTCCTCGTCGCCGTCTTCGGCGCGCTCAACCCGCCCGACCAGGCGCGGCTCAGCAGCGCCTGCCGCCGCCTGCGCGACGTCGGGCTGCACCAAGCCTTCATTTTCAAGTCGCTGTCGCTGACATGGGCGAGGACCCACGTGTCCGACTCGGCGCTTCTGGTGGTCCGCAAGTACGGCGCTATGGTCCGGGAGCTGATTTTCTTCGTCGACCCCCCCTTTTATCCCGACGGCGGCGGCGACGGCAGGGACAAGACTGCGCCTCCGTTGCCGGCCAGTTTCGTCGCCCTGCTCACCGGCCGCGACGAGTCGGGCGCCGCTCTGCCGCTGTCGCACCTCGACCGCATCGTGCTCGAATTCCCCTCCACCTTCGAGGTAAAACCCAAGGACGGGGGGAAACGTGCATACGGGCAAGGCAAGTGCCTGTATTTTGACTGCTACGGCCACGAGGCGCCAGTCATTCGCAACAATGCCCTCGTCGACACGGTCATGGAGGCGCTGGCGAGGCGAGGCGACGCCGCTGCAACGACGAAACCGATCACGAGCCTCAAACTCGCAAATTTTCCGCCCCGCGAGTGCCCTTCCCTGTCCACGGACGAGTGGCGGCGCTTCCTGTCCCGAATGCAAGATTTCGACTTGTCCTTGTATGGCGACGGGGTCGAGCCCGATAAGCTCTTTGTAACCAACAACCAGGTGGCCTACCTGAACCTCAGGGACAGGCTCGGGGACTTGATACTCAACCGTCTCCCCCAGGCCCGGCGCCTTCGATTCTACGGATCGCAATACGCACCTCTTGGTGCGCACTTTGAGCGGACTGAAGACCTGCCCTGGGATCCCACGACGGCGCCCTTGCTCCAAGAGCTGGAGCTCGGTTATATATTTGTCGGGAGTGAACTGGCTTCGTTGCTCCAAAAGCCCGGCAAGAATGCCGCAAGGCGGCCGCTCTCCGTCACCTTGGCCAACGCCGATGCCCACGGTAGCCCCGATTGGGAGGACGAGACGGAATGCATCACTTGGGCCCGATTTTTCGACGTGCTCGTGGAGCAAGGGGCGCGCTTTTCCGTCTTTAACGTCACGCCCACGCGGACAGGGTTTGACGACTACGAGGAAAGCGATTGGCAGACTGTCGAGAACCCGACGCCCACCGAAGACGCTATCGCTTGCAGGGAAAAGCTCGCCGCGAATCCCGGATTGTCCGTTTTCACTTATGGTCGTGTAACAGACAAGTACGCCGACTGGTGGCCTGATTTGGAGGAAACCATGCAGTCATTCCTCGCGGGCCATGATCAGGCTGCCTACGAGCGGTTCATGGAGGAGGCGGTTAAGAATCGGCACGAGTAGAATCCTTAAGTAGCTGGTTGTCCCTTGAAATGGGGAACGTCGGGGGAACTTGTCTCAAACCTGCGTCTTTCTTTTCTTCTTTGCCTTCTTCCTGCCCTGCATCGCTTTTTGCCGTAGCTGGCTGGCGACCCGGCTTTTGCTAGCCAGTCCTCCCCTTACTGGTTTGACTAGGGGAGAGCGGACGGGATCCCGTATATTCCAGTGGGTATGGTCGTATGTATCCTTCTCGATATGAAACTGTAGGGATAATACCAAACGCTGGGCATAAAACGAAGCAACAAAGAAGGTGGTCGAAGCCCGATACCAGCCTTATAATTTGGCAAGGTACCTAACAGGCGAACTACCCTACTCGCTATCACGGTCCTGTGGGCGCCCTAACCCAAAGCTGGTAAAATGACGAGGCAGGATGCCCTTCGAGTCCATCCAGATGACGTGTGAAAGGAGGGAAACCAAAGATCTCCCACTCATTAGCGACCAGGTGTTTCGAGTGCCAGAACAAACAAAGAGCGCCAAGATCAAAAAGAAAAAAAACATCTTTTAGCACCCGTACTGGCCACTACTAACGATTAGGCCTAAGTGCGACAGGCTGGAGTAATTCTTGCCTGATATAACGGCGAGCTCCAACTGGGTTGTATTTGGCTGGGCCTCGTGATGGGCGGCACAGCTGACACGAGCTACAGCCAATCACTTCGAGGGTTCAACACCACAACAAAGTCACCCAACGTTGGGCAGCCACGCATACGTTCTCATGGAGGTCCGCCAGAGCTGTAATGCCCGTCTTCAAAGGCAGCCGGTTAAGCCGAGCTCCTCCTCGCCTCAACTTCGTCTCGCACCGGCCTTGGTGAACATATCTCTTGCTATCGCCTCTCTTTTGGCGTTACTGCCTCAACTTTGTATGGGACAAGGGTTGGGCCTCGCCAAATTCATAACCCCCGTTTTACCATACTGCTAGCTCCGTCTATCACGCCGCCTGCTCCTTCTATCATGCCGCCGGCTCCGTCTACCACGCCACCAACGGGTATGTTGAAACTCTGCCCCGCGTTACAAAAAGCTCGTAACTCACATTCTTTAGACGTCAGGTCATCCCATCACGAAGAAGACACAGAATATTTGTCTAAAGCCTCCTATACTGCCGCAAGCGAGTCGTGTGTTCCTCCCTCCCCGTCTGCCGCCGCCGCGGAGGTCGCCCGAGCTGCCACGGATGGCAGAGTCCCCGACCATCGCCGGCCTGCAACTCGCATTGCAGAACATATCCCAGCCATTTCTGAGTTCAAGGCACTCATGGTTGACGAAGTCAATGAGAAGGATTTATTCCACGGTGTCGGGTTGGGACGCGCAATGGGGACGGGACACTTGCCTCTGAGGCTGGTGAAGCTCCCTGTCGATGACGTCTCCAAAGTTGCTGTTCTTTCATGGCGCTGGGATGGGGACCTCGAGGTCCGCGGCTCCAAGAATATTGCAATCGCGGTTCACCAAGCCAAGAAAATGGGCGTTCGATACCTTTTTATCGACCTTGTCTCCATCGATCAATGTCTGTCTGGGGACGCGCTGATGGAACAAGTGGTCTCGTTCTCATCGCTCTACAGCACCATAACAGTCATTGCTGCATACGACAAGGACGGAGAGAATCGCGGGAGAACCATGCATCGCCCGTGGATCTCCAGTGAGGTGCGGCAGTTCCTAGACAGCCCCGCCAAGACCGTGTACGTCACCCACAAGTCCACCACATTACGTTCGGCGCTCTTATCCCCTTTGTTCTGTGGTACGCTGTCACAAATCAGGAGAGGAGGTTTCGTCAAAACAATTCTCGGCATTCTTTGCGATAAAATCGGGATGGCTTGCGTCTCTGACCTCAAGTTCATCATCCCACCATACGCGCGGATTCTTGCCGCTGCCTATGAGAAAATGAGTCGAAACGACTATCTCCTGACAGCCGCGATCCTCTGCCGTATCCATGCACCAGAAGGGATCTTCATCTTATGGAATATCAGAGCCATGAACTACAATCGGTGCAGTTTCGAGGAGATTGGGGATGTGAAAGACGGCTATTTCTCATGGACCGTTTACCATATCTTCCTCGATCAGATCCAGATCGGGGAATTGCGGCGCGGTCCTATCGGGGGAACATACGACCTCTGTTACTCGTTCGACGCTTTACCACATGCGGAGCATGTCATTTTCGCTGCACTTGGAATGACAGACTCTGCCTATGGAGAGTTTGTTGCACAGGCAGAAATACGACGCGCTTGTCTCAGGACGAAAGCACACAAGGATGAAGCCAAATGGCGCAAGCCGCACGTTATTTCCGTTACCCTGTAGGGAAGGAAACGGGCAAACTAGGTCCACGGTAAGGACGAAGAGCGGGTAGATGCGATAGGACGTTGATGGCACAAAATAAGAAGTAAACGGGCCCACAAGATACATAGTACGCACCCACTTGAGTGCAAAGACCGCCTAGCCATTGCAGTGCTCCTCCCCCTCACTGTCGCTGGGGCTAGCAGGCGTGACAAGACAGGATGCCATTCGACTCATCGAGATGGGGTGCACCAAGAAGGTATCATATAATTTTACCTCGTTTGTCGGATCGGGCCAGCTAGGAACCCCGAACAGGGACTAGGTGACTTGCAAGGGCCAGCTTTGGGACATGCGTCATGCACATGGACATGCATCTAGCCGGTGTGCGTTGTGTACATATTTGTAGTTCCGGGCAGCAGATGCCATCACGGCCCAGGATTTTAAACTTTGCATGATTTCATATCAAGTCTCCTCCCGCTACAGTCCGAAATGCGGCCCCGACGACATCTCCCCATACCCTTGACGGCGCTTTGCGGCATGGCGACGGCACAGGGCAACGGCCGTCCAGGGCACGGCCTGATCGGGTACGGAACCGAAATGTACAACCCGCCGTGTGCCTACACCTGCGGGAGCATGGCGGTGCGGTTCAAGCTCGATTGTGGCGACCAACACGGCGCCCTCTCGCCGTCGCCCGAGTGCCTAGCAACCAACGACCCCTACCTCCAGACGGCGGCTTGGTGCATCCACACGCACTGCCGCGGCGTCGCGGCCTCCAAGCTCGAGTCCTTCTGGGAGACGGAGCTGATCGGCCACGAGGTCGCGCAGCCGTCGCCCAAGTACGGGTACGCCGAGGCGCTGGCGCGCGCGCGGGCCGCGCCGCCGACGGGCATCGCGCCGCACGACCAGTACCTGAACGCCACATCCCTGGTCAATGAGGAGACGTACCTGGCCGCGTACAACGGCAACCACTTCTACGAGGTCGGCGAGACAATCACGTCGGGTTACGCCATCTTTCTCTTCGTCGTCTGCGTCGCCATCCCTATCGCGCTGTCGTGGTTGGCCGCCTGGCTGCCGCTGCCGCCCGGTCTGGAGTCGCGCGTCTACGGCTGGTTGGTCGACCCCCCGGTCCTCGGGAGCCGCCACGCCGCCGCCGCCCCCGCGCTGTTCGGCCTCGGCCTCGTGCCGACGCGCGGGCAGGCGCTCTACCTCGGCTACGTCCTGGCCGTCAACGTGGTGTTGTGCTCGACGGGCTACGTCATCGTGGAGCCGCACGGCTGGTACGGCTCGGTGCGCGAGCAGGTGCTGACGTACGTGGCCAACCGGACGGGCCACCTGAGCCTCGCCAACCTCGCGCTCGCCGTTCTCTTTTCGACCCGCAACGGCGCCCTGCTGTGGCTGACGGGCTGGGGCCACGGGACCTTTCTGCTGCTGCACCGCTGGGTCGCCGTCATCTGCGCGCTGCAGGCCGTCGCCCACTCGGTCCTGTACCTCGTCGTCTTCCTTGAGCGCGGCGGCGATGTCTACGCCTTCTCCGCGACGCAGGCCTACTGGCTCTGGGGCGTCGCGGCGACGGTCCTGCTCGTGGCGCTGGTCCCGCTCTCGGCCCTGCCGCTGCGCCGCCGCTTCTACGAGGCCTTCCTGGCCTCGCACGTCGTGCTGTCCGCGCTGGCGCTGGCCGCCTGCGCGTGCCACATCTACTACCGGTACCAGTGGCAGTGGGGCTACGAGATCTGGATCTGGATCGCCTGCGCCTTCTGGGCCTCCGACAGGCTCGTGGCACGGCCGTGGCGGGTGCTCGTGCGCGGCGGCGGCGGCGGCGTTGTCAAGAGGGCCTTTGTGACGGTCGTAGACGGCGACTACCTCAGGCTCGACATCCCTGGCTGCCGCGAGGGCAGCGGCCACGTCTATCTGTACTTCCCGACGCTGACCTGGCGCGTGTGGGAGAGCCACCCCTTTTCCGTCGCCGCTGCGCTGCCCCGCCCTGGTTTCCAGCAGGAGCAGCGGAGGAGCAGCAGCGCCCAGCACTGGCCGCCGTCCTCGGAGCCGCGTGAGACGGCAGACGCGGCGCCGGAAGATACCGACCCCGAGCCCAAGACGCCCAGCACCGCCGCCTCCTTGCCCCTGATGGGCGGCCGGCACGCAACAAGCCCGAGCGCCGCCTTTTACCTCAGACGACGCGGCGGACTCACCGCCACCCTCGCGCGACAGGCCCACAGCGGCAAGGGCATCCCCGTGCTCGTCGAGGCGGCGTACGGCGCCGCGCACACGTCCATCTGCCCCGCGCCGCGCGCGACGACGACGGCATGGTACCCGAACCTGATCTACGTCGCCGGCGGCGTCGGCATCGCGGCCGCCCTGCCGCTGGTCCGGGGCGCGCCACGGCAGGACAGCCGTAGCCGCCGTCGGCGACTCTTCTGGGGCGTGCGCACCGCGCCGCTCGTGCTCTCGGTGCAGGAGCTGCTCGGGGAGGACGGACCGCTGCCGGCGGGGGGCGGCGGCGGCGACGGCAGCGGGGTCCGGAGGGCGAGGTGGGGGGACGTCAACGTGGCGGTCTCGGTCGGGGCGCGGTTTGACCTCCCGCGCGTGCTGGGAGAGGCGCTGCGGGAGAACGAAGGGTCCGGCGGCACCGTGGTCACGGTCTGCGGGCCGCCGGGCATGGCTGACGAGGTCAGGGTGACGGTGGCGGCGGCGGCGCGCAGAGGCGTGGCCGTAAGGCTGCTGGAGGAAAGCTTTTCCTGGTAGGCATCAGCACATGCTGAACGGCCCGCTGTAGCAGCACAAGACTTGCAATGATGAAGGTCATATACGTAACTACCTAGGTATCTTACTTCCTGCCCTATCCACACGCACCATTATCGCCCCTTGCGGGCTCGTTTTCCAGAAAGCTTCCATTGCCGATGCTTCCCGGCCTGAAGTATCTGATATATGAATATCTAGGAATCTTGTGCGTGTCGTGTCATGTCATGGCGTATAATAAGCCGCCAAAAAATATTAACCGGAAGAGACAGTGGGTAGTGGTATCTTTAGCGTGGTGGTACAGGCGTCGTCTCCCATGCGTAACCCCGGAAATGCAACGCTCCCTCGTGGAAAAGAAAAGATCAAGAGAATGTCAGATATCGTACAACAGTTCCCGCCCTTGACCCTGGCGGCATCACTCAACCCGATTAGTACCGACCCTGCTGGGGTGCTCCTCCGTACCGGCCGCCGCCGCCGCCGAACGTCGTGCTGTCCGGCCTTGGGGCGTTGGGCGTTGGCCTGAAGTAGAGAGGGGACGGGGGGTTGGCGGGCTCGAAGTTGCCCGGCTGTCTCGACATCCTCTCGGCGGCGGCGTAGTGCTGGTTGATCTTGGCGATGGCCTGGTACTTGCTGAGCGACTCCCTGTCGGCCTGGGTTTGGGTCATGCCCACGGGGGCAGGCGAGATTGGGTACTGCGTGTACTGTTCGTTGCCTCCGCCGGCGTAGCTGCCGCCCATGCCCGCGCCGCCGGCGAAGCCGGCCTGGCCGTCCTGAGCCCGGCTAGTGCTGCCGGCCGCGCCGACGGGCGGGGGAGGCCGCTGAGCGGCGTACTGTTGCTTCTCATCGTATCGCGTGTTTTCCATCGAGTTTCGGTTGGCGCTCCTGGCACCCATGGGCCACTCATCGTCCCGTCCAGCAGCCGCTGCGCCAGCGCTGGCGGCCGCCACGTTCCCTCCACTAGTTGCTCCCACCCCGCCACTCCCTGACCGGATTGGTCCCTGCCAGGGGTTAGAGTCGGTTCTTGCTAAGGGGCGGGAGATGAAGTCTGGTGTGGGCGCACGCTCCGCCGCCTGCTTGGCTTTCTTTCTGTTGGCTTGGCGAACGCAAAACATGGCGATGATACCGGCGACAAGACCGACGGCGACTGTGGAGTGAGGGGATAACGTGTTAGCGCGAGTGCTCAGCGAGACTGGCAGCATTGACCAGGTTTGCGGGAGTGACATACCCAGTATCCCCACCAACACTCCAATCTGCTGGCCACGGGCGTCGGGCGAGTCGGCGTTGGCAGATCCTCTGTCGGGCGCTTCGGCGGATTCGGTCGGCTTCATCATGTCGGAGGCCATGGTGCCGGTCGAGGAATCGGAGGGGAGTCCTGGGATCAAGTTTCCAGCCTCGGGCAGCACGGAAGCAGAGGGAGTCGGAGTCGCCGAGGTTCTCCCGCGGCCGCGGGATGCGCTGGTAGGGGCCTCGGTCTGGCTGGGCAGGCCGACGCTGCTGCTGATGGCGCTGTTGACTGCGCTGCTAACGGCGCGGGCGCTGGTGCTGCTGGCGGCAGTGGTGGAAGTCGTCGACCGGGCGCTCGTGCTCGTGCTGCTGGCGGCAGTGGTGGAAGCCGTCGACTGGGCGCTCGCGCTCGTGCTGCTCGCGACGCTCGTCTGCTGGCTCGATTGCTGCGGTGCGGGTGCGGGAGCCCTCGCGGGCTGGGTCGGGGAAACGCCAAAACCGGGGATCGATCGGGTGGTAACGCCGGGCTGGATGAGGAGGATCGGAGCCGGCACCGGGGCCGGCAGCCGGGTGGGGACATTGGTCTGCCTCCGGCCAAGAATGGCCATGAGCTCCTCAACAGTTCGTGGGGGACTGCAAGATGCGGAGCCGTGTCAGCCGGCGTCCACCCTGGCTGCCACACAAGCTGCCCTTTTGCATCAACTTACCGCATATCGAACTCGCTTATCGGGGTGATGTCGTGACGTATAAAGGAAGACTCGCTTCGATAGTTGAAAGGACCGGCCGCGCAAAGATATGAAAATGATGGCAAAAAATGCCACGAAAGGGAAAGCAAATAAATGCGACCCAGCGCAGAGCGAAGTGAATAACAGAACGGAGGGAAAGGAAAGAGTCCGTTTACTGGGTGCGCATGTTAGTGTCGGTGGCGCTTGTCCTCCAATGATGTTTGCAACGACCCGCGAAATAAAAGAACTAGATCGATCCCCGCAAGCCAGTTGCCGTCGAAGAAAGAAAGAAGGAGAAGAGAAGAAAAACACGGGATGTTTGTCGAGAGGGGGGTGGAGGGAACAAAAAGAGGCCAGAAGAAAATGAGAAAGGTGCCGCGAGCGCCCTGCTTCTTGAACCCAAGCAAGAGGTTCGTGCAATATTAGCCGTCAATCTCTCCCCTCTCTCCACACACACCCCACTTGAGACTCTCGCCTCTGCGATGCAATGGCCGCAGGCGTGCTAGGCAGGGCTGCTTGCGCTGCCGTGCCCTTGTCGGGGGTCGGGTTGGGCGTGGTGTGTGTAGCCGTCTGCCGCGGAGAGCGTAGGTACGCGGCCCCTACAGGGAAGGTCGAGCCGTCACGCCGGGAGCTTGCGATGGCAAGTCTTGGATCGACTTTCCCTCGATGGGACTTCCGTGGGCGCTCGGAGCTGGTCGGCTAGCATGGGGGCGGTTCTCAACGCCTCCTTCGAAACGGGGCCAGGGGGGAGGCTCCGTGGCAGCCCCTGCAAGGGACAGGCAAGGCAAGCGCAGCCAGTAGGCGTGCCGCAATTCCAGCGTGGCCGATGCAGCGATCGGCTGGGGTCGTGGTGGGCCGGCCCTGAGACGGCCAAGACTGTTTCGAGGAAGCATCAATACCACGCTGCCGTCGAGCACGCCCACCGGACGCCCACCGGCAGCGCCGATTTTGGCTCGACCACCCAACGGGGAACAAAATCGCACCTAGAGAACCGTCGCACGCCGCGATCCACGGGTCCAATCGTGCTTGGCCCTGGGGAAGGAGGGGCGATGGCGCGCCATGGACTATAGTGCGATGCCGTGGGCGGCGAGATAACAGCAGGCAGGGGGCTTGCCAACCGACATGACTGGCATCCGCATTCAGCTCCCTTCTGGATCCAGAGATGGTGACATATTAATCGGGATCGTGCTGACCGGTCAACGCCGAGAGATGTGATTGAATGCTGAATGTATCTTCAATCGCGAATTTCCAGTTTAGCTTGATTGAGCAGGGGCTGCCAGCTTTCACCTTTGCGGCAGGCACGAATCGCGCACGAATCAGGCCCCTGCCACGCCTTCTCGAACATTTCTAGCCCAGCGGTTTCGAAAACTCAGCGGCTTTCCCAATCCAGGCCTGGCGACTGATCGATGCATCAACCTGCTGTCGCTCTATTCTGGTTTCAGTGGTGCCAATCGTGGCAGTATATAACCTGTCAACCATCCGTCGCTCCTCGGGGTCAGGCAGCTTCCCGAAGCCAAGAATCAGTGATTTAATTTTCCATCTTGACAACGCTGCGAGTGCAGGCAAGGAGCAAGGACAAATAGGAAAAAAAATACCCGAGACAGTCCCCACCCACTATTTGTCGATGCTATCCAGGCTCAGCGCGACTTTTGGCTAACGCTGTTTGGGATATCGTACTTTGAAAGATGGTCAGTGGTAGGTGCTCAACCTCAGGTCCAACACCAAGGCAAGCCATCGGGATGGATGTGACGTGCTCCTGTTTGGCCTGAAGCTCCCAGTGCACGGGTCCCTGAGGAAGGATAGAAAAGCCCCTACTTCCTCCGCGGAGGCCGCTGAGGCGGGTCTGCGATTGGTGAACCACATGAGTAAATTGTGGACCGAAACACATTTCCCGTGCCAACTTATCGAGGCGCTTCAACGAAACAACGTCTTTTTTGGCACTTTGTCCCTTTTTTTTCTTTCTTTTTTTTTGTCGGAAAAGGATGGATCCCGGCAATGCAATGTCGGCTCACCCTGCTGTTGGGCGCCGAGCCAGGCCGGAAGCTCTGATTCTTCACGCCACCCGCCACCCCAGCACCTGCTGGCCAGCTGATCCCCGCCGACGGCTGTCAACTACCGGAGCCTACCCTCGCTGCGCGTGCCGCAACCCCGGGTGACGCGGACGGATTGCCAGCAGGGGATCCAGCTAGGGGAGAGACCGGGGCGGCACAATGTGCCCAGAAATGCTTTGTTCGAATGAGGTAAGGTGATATTCGAGGCCTATTCTTGCACGCTTCCTTTCCCGCCAAGCTCGCATGTCTCCGCGCATACGGATGGATACAGATACAGATACATTTATGCAACCAACCAACCAGAAGGGTCTTACCGCCGACATCTCACGGCGATTTCGCGATGGCCGCCTTGACCTCCTCGCCCTTGGTCTGCGCCTCGGGCTTGAAGTCCTTGAACTTCCTGGCCGGCACGCCCTTGATGAACATCTCGTCCAGCTCCTCGTACGTCCGCCCGGCCGTCTCGGGCAGGCAGTACCAGATGTAGACGAGCGACACGACGGCCAGGCCGCCAAAGATGAAGGCGACGCGGGCGCCGAGGTTGGCCTTGTCCGGGTTGAAGAGGTACGGGAGCACGAAGCTCCAGGCCATGCCGAGCAGGTTCTGCGCCGCGAGGCCGATGGCGATGGTCTTGATGCGCAGGCGCGACGTCGACACCTCGCACAGCACCGTGAAGGCTGTGGCGCCGATGGTGGCGTTGTACCACCAGCAGTAGATGAGGATTAGCCCCACGGTGCCCTTGAGCGCCTCGGGCGAGCCCCAGGCCGCTAGGCCGCCCGTGGCCAGCAGGTTGATGGTGAGGGCGAGCAGACCGTAAAAGGTCAGGTTGCGGCGGCCGACGCGGTCGATGAGGTACCACGACATGACGTTGCCGACGAGTGAGCACACCTGCTGCACGATCTGCAGCTTGAAGCTCAACTCGGTGCTGAAGCCCGCTAGCTGCATGTAGTAGGTGAAGTACGAGGCCGCGAAGACGACGCCCGACAGCATCTGGATGCACAGCGGCGCGATGCTCACCACGGTGCGCCGCAGGTTTGACCGCCGGAAGCACTCGGCGTAGGTCGCGCCCTCGGTCTCCTGCGACACCTCCTCCAGCGTCTGCCGGATCACGGCGAGCCGCTTCCGACCCTCCTCGCCCCTATGGCCCAGCTTGGCCAGATTGTGGAGCGCCTTGGCCTCTTGGCCCTTGGAGGCTAGCCACCAGGGGGATCTGGGGGTTGAAGATGAATTTGTCAGTCTCTGTCGTTGGGTGTTTGTGTGTGGAGCATAAGCTTTTTGTCGGCTGTTCTCGAGCCTCCTGATTCCTCCTTTTTCCTCTTTGTCTCTCTTCTCCCAACACGTACTCCACTTCGAAACCGCCACATGTAACCCCGACGCCGTTAAGATCGAAAGACAAAGCTCATACTTACTCGGGCATGAAAAAGACACCAATGGTGGCGAAAACGGCAAACCCATATTGCGCGCAGAATACCGCCCTGTATGCCCATCGGCTCGGGATTGTTCCCGTCTCGTTGACGATCAAGGCGGCGACCAGAGGACCCAGCGTGTACGACATGGCCGACAGGCAAGTGAAAATTCCTCGTAGGGCTAGCGGGGTGACCTGTACGGTGGATAGGGGCGGATGATGAGCTTCTACCCTTGACGTGAAGAGTAACGCCCTGGCCACCTGCCAACCCTAGATTTGTGCCTCTTTTGCTTACCTCTCCGATATATGTGACTGTCACAGACGCCAGAGCTCCGGTCGCGAAGCCATTCAAAAACTTGCCGCCGAAAAACATGGGGTTTGTCGTGGCGACAAACTCCATCGTGATTGCTGCATAGGTGATGACGAGGGCCATCATGATAACAGCTCGGCGCCCCAGCCAGTCGGCCAGAGCACCGCAACCCAGAGAGCCAATCACAGCGCTGTTCAGAGGTCGTGTCAGAGAAGCGATCCAACCATGACGGACCGCCTTTTGTCGCGTCGGCGAACTTGCGAGCACACTTGCCTCTGGAGGTTTGAAGGGGAACAAATGGATGGAAAAGAAAATGACGACTCACGATGCAACCGGGGCGCCGCTGAACGCGGCCTGCCACTCGGCGGGCAGGACGTAGCCGCCCTCGAAGGGCACGCCAAAGTCCTTGCGGAACTCGGGAATGCCCAGGATGTTGCCCGAGGCCTGGTTCTCGAAGCTGACCAGGAGCACGCACCAGACGGCGTAGAGACACCAGAAGCACGACACGGGGTAGTGACGCAGCGACGCGCGCTTGCCAACGTCGTGCTCCTCCTGGTTGCCCAGGTACGCGAGCTGCTTGTCCTCGAGCGACGAGCTGCCGCCGTCAACGTGGCGCGCCTCGCGGCCGCCGCCTTCGGCCTTGGCGTCGCCAGCCACAGCCATCCTCTATTTCTCTTCTTGGCAAAGGGAGTGTGTTGAATGGGCGCGGACGACGGTTCTTTGCAGTGAGCGAGCAACGACAGATGATTGATGGAGCAGAGGCCGCCTCAACTGCGCACCTAGGTAAAGCGACGCGTCGCAGACGCTCGTTCTTATAGTCTTCTACATCCCGGCCGGCCGCTCCACCGTCGCCGCCTTCTTCCCCGAGGCTGCAAGCCGGGCTCCTTGGCAGCTGGGCCCAGCGCTGGCATCCTCGGGCTCCCCAGGCAGGCAAGAACGCTGGAGAAAGGCCGAGCCGAGATCGCCCCGGTGTTTCTCCGGGGATTGCATATTTGCGGGGAAAACCGGGGCGGTGCGGGGAGAAGAGGCGATTTCGCGGGGGAATCGACACAAAAATGCCCCAAGCGGCGTCTGCGTCGGGAGAGAAGGCAGCGAAGCCTTGAGCGACGCTATTCCCTGGTCCTGGCCTTTGAGAGTTATGCTCATTTCCACCGATAGTGGCCCCTGAAACCCATCAAACCCCCAATTTTGTGTTCGGCGTCAGCCTCTTTGACATCCATGTGACTCAAGGGACTAGGAATCCTCGAGCTTGCCGAGCTCCGACGACATAGAAGAGTCAGCTCATGGCGAGGGCGATCATGTCACGTGGGTCTCTGCTGCCTCGGCAGGACGGTTTCTGGACTTGACCAGTGAGATGGGCAGGCTGCACGACGCAACGGTAACAATTTAGGGTCAGGCAGGTGTCACTCTGCGTACAATCTGATGCCAGGAAAAGTGCCTGTAGACATTGCACACATATATGCTCCACCTCGGACGCATTCCCTACTGCAAAAATCAGGCCTCACGCAGCAGGTCCGCAACCTCGTCTTGCCCATACTTGAGAGCAAACTCCAGCGGCGACAAGGTGGCGTTGTCCGTCCACATGGAGCACGTCGGCGCGGTCCTGTCGGCGCCCCTCTCAAGCAGCAGCCGCACCATGTCGGTCCTGCCGCCCCAGGCGGCGAAGTGGAGCGCGTTCTGCTGCCCGAAAAGCACCGCCTCGGTGAGGCCGCAGCAGGTTCGTTCCTGCTGCTGCGGGCGGCCGCCGTCGTCGCCCCGGTTCTGCAGGTGGTACGCGTCTACGGGCGCGCCCGCGTCCAGGAGGAAGCGCGCAACCTCGAGCCGGCCGTGCTCCGTGCCGCTAGAGGGCTTCGGGTTCTTGACGGGCGGCGAGATTTCGGCGTGAACCATGGATGCGTGCGCGACGAGCGAGCCGCCCGTCACAGACGCGCCGTGCTCTTCCACCAGCAGCCTCACCGTGGCCGGGGAGGCGTAGGCGGCGGCGAACTCCATGATGGTCCTCGAGGTTGCCGAGCCGCTGGGAGCGTTGGGGTCGGCACCGCGCGAGAGGCACCATGAGACTAGGTTTGGGTGTCTGATGAAAGCGCTTTAACAAGGGAGAAAAGATGATGTCAGTATTTTTTTTGTCACCACGGCCTCACAAACGAAATCCACCCACCCTAGAATGGGCGTGCCATCCCGGATAGGCTTGTTAATGTCCCAGCCCGCGTCCAGCAGGAGTCCCAGGACGCGTAGGTCCCCTTTTTCCCTCGCTTTGGCGGCGGCTTGTACTATGGCATTCTCGTTGGGCGCGATCCCGGCGCTCAGCAGGAAGCGCACCAGATCCTCATCGTCACCGTGGCAAGCCCAGCGCAGGGCGTTGGTTTCTTCGAGCCAGGCCAGGAGGTTGGGCTGCACTTTGTTCTCTCCAGTCTCCGTCGCCATCATCCACGGCGCCATCAGGTCTTGGACGTCGCTCAAGGGCACATGCCTAGCGCAGAGCTTATTGATCTCGCTGGCCGCATCGTCTAGGGTTTGCACCCGCCCGCTCAGCCCTGCCCTGTCTAGACGCACGAGCGGTGCCGGGCTGCTGCCGTCGGCGTGCTCGAAGCGGAGTAGCTTCCCAAAAAGGATATGGTGTGGCGTGTGCGCATTTCGGGGCGTCCCGATTTGGAAAATGCCTGCGAGTTGAGGTCTCCAGGTAGCGACCCAAAAGGCACAGCCGTAGATTCCCCGTCACTTCCACGGTGAACAAATCTCCAAGGGCGGCAGGTTGCCCGCTGCGCCGCCCAACAGCGCGGGGCTCGGATGCAGAAACCTTCTCCTCGGGCTCGAACAGGTGTATGCCGCTAATGAAGCTCTCCCTAGCAGTGGCAATTTCGTCCCCTCGCGGGAACACCAGGCGTGGCCCCCTATAATCAGCTTCATGTAAATATATTTGCCTGGAGGGGGCAAGGCCTGGATGAAGCCTAGGCAAACAAAGGGTTCGCCTTTCGATTCCGCTTGTGTAGGTAGGTGGCGTGGAGTTTGACATCTGGATTGGGGAGGGCAAGTGACAATGGCAAGGAGCAACTCGTTCATCAGGGTGTGGGAGTTTGGAGTTCAGGGGTCAGGCGCGGAAGGGAGCTTGATAGATTAGTTGTTTTAGTGATTTAAATCCGTGGCTTATCTTTTTTCAATGGTCAACTTGATGAACAAGGCCGCCCAGCCCACTTGCCCCCATGCCTACAAACCCTCTCAAGACTCCCCGGGCGCGTCGGCGTAGAGGTGGCAAACGTCAGTCTCGTCCACGATCTGGACCTTTATGCTTCCGTTGCGAGGGTCCGAAGACAGAACCAGGCCTTCCATGGCCTTCTCGAGAGGAAAGACGTGCGTGACGAGCTTTTTGAGATCTAGGATGCCACCTGCCATGCAGGCAATCCCCGCCGGCCACGTATCGCGGTATCTGTTGATGAACCGCAGGTCGATCTGGTAGAGATCGCAAGATGGTTAGCCAAGCCTTCGGACACAATCTCCACTTGCAAAGAAAGAATAATGAAAAGAGTGCTTACCTCGGCCAACGACAGGTGCATAAACGGCAAGTTGTTCATCACCTCCTTCCCGACCCCAATCACCACCACCACGCCTCCCCTCCTCGCCGTGAACGCGGCCGCACAGACGCTGCTCTCGACGCCGGTGCACTCGAGCACCGCCGGCGGCGCCGCGTACTCGTCCGCGTCGGCGCCGAACAGCCGCCTCACGGCGCGCCCGGTCTCCTCGGGCGCCGCCTTTGGGTCGACAAGGTACGTAACGCAGGTTGGCACCAGCTGCCGGGCGAACTCGAGCCGCGAGGCCTCGACGTCGGTGACGACCAGCGGGTGCGCGCCCGACGCCCGCGCCGCGGCCAGCGCGATGAGCCCGATGGGGCCGGCGCCGCACACGACGGCGCCGCGGCCCAGCTCGAGCCGCGCGGTGCGGATGCCGTGCAGCACGACGCTGAGCGGCTCGAGCAGCGCGCCCTCGGCGTACGAGATGCTGTCGGGCAGCTTGTGTAGCCACCGCGCCGGGTGCACCTTGTAGCGCTGCAGCGTTCCGTGGTAGGGGTATACGCCCGCGAACTGGACGTCTTCGCACAGGTTGTAACGGCCTTCTTGGCAGAGGAAGCAGTTGTTGCACGGCACGCCCGGCTCGACGGCAACCCGGTCGCCCGTCTTGAGGTTCGCCACGCCCTTGCCGCACTTGAGAACAACGCCGGCGGCCTCGTGGCCGAGGATGCAGTCGCCCTCGACCACCAGGGTGCCTATACAGCCCGATTTCCAGAAATGGACATCTGATCTGGAGCGAGGAAATTACACGATGACAATATCAGCAAAGGGAAACTCGACCGCATTTTGGCGTCCTGCACTTGCCCACAGATTCCAGTAGCCTTGACGTGGATGAGGACCTCCCCGGGCCCGGGAGACAGGACTGGTGCCTCAACCTGTTTTAGCTGGTGGTCTGCCGTCACCTGAAGCGAGGGGTTGGGCAGCAGGGCTGGGTCTTGTCTGGGAGGCTGAGCCATGGTGTGCTGAGGCCTTTGCAGGTGAACGGGGGTAGGGTTATGAGGAGAATAGTATAGGCGAATACTAACTCAGAATGTAGGTTTTGTCTGCCAGATTTGGCCATCAGCTATGCACTGCATGTCGAAGCCATATTTGTCCCAGCACTTTGGACTGGTCGTCTGCTGGAGCAGCGTCTTTCGCGGTCTGGTGGTTATGATTTCCAAATTGGGCAGGACCCCAAGTTCGCCGCGTCTAGACCCTGCCCCACATGTGGACCCCATCCCCGCCCACATTGGAATCCTTTGCCTCCTCATGACTGACTCTCCACCATCGCCTTTATGGCATCCCCCACAGCCTCGGCCCCGCCGCCGCCGCCGCCCTTCAGCTCCTTGTTGGTGGTCTGGATCATGATCCGCCTGTACGTCGTCAGCGCCGGCGTCCCGCTGTCCGTCACCTCCAGGATCAGATGCAGCAGCTGGCCCCTGGCCATGGGCTCGCGGCTGATGAGCTGCACGCAGCACTTCTCGGCCGGCGGCAGCGTCACCTCCACAACCCTGCCCTCGCCGTCCACCCTGCGGATGCCCAGCGGCTCGACCTCGAAGTGCGTCGCCCACTGCGTCGCGCTGGGCTCGCGGTAGTGCCACCACTTGAACGCCAGCCCGTCGTCGCCCTCGTCCGGGTCGTACGTCCTGCTCGCGTCCACCGTCAGGGTCGTGCCGGCCTCGGCCTCGAGCAGCACCGGCGCCGGCCCGGGGTCGTCCCCGATGTACACGACGGGCGCGTGGTTGGCGCCGCTAAAGTCTGGGGCCATGGTCCAGCGCACGCGCGCCGCAAAATCGTTTTGGAAGGCGTCGCGCCACCGCCAGATTGTGGCCTGGCTCGACGTGTGTCTGCGCCCGTCCTTGCCCACCACCACGTCGGCCTCGTCGGCGTAATGGCCGCTGGCCCGCTGCGCCCCGTCCACCAGTCCGTACCGCCCGCCCCAGGACCCATACTCGGGGTGCTCGGGCACACCCAGCCCGTTCTGAATCAGGTAGAGGAAGGTCGGCGTATCACCTTCGGGAATGAACATGTAGTCCGGGTACGCGCCGCCTAGGGGCCCAATTTGAATGTGCTCGCGTATCCACTCCTTGGTCACCTTGTCGAAGTCGGGCCCGCCCGAGTCGAAGCCGTAGTAGCGGTCGCCCGAGATGCCGGTCCAGGCCGCCATGCCGTACTGGTTCCAGGCGTGGACGGACGCTATGTAGAAGACGTCCGGGAACTGCGCCCGGATCCAGCCCGCGCTGTCGTCCTGGTCCGAGATGGCGTACACGCGCACCCGCGCCCGGAGCGCCGCGGCCTCGGCAGCCGGGCGGGTGTTGCGGATCGATAGGAGCGCCTGCGCGAGCACGTTGGCGCCGCCCCAGCATAGTACCCACAGGGGCCGGTCCAAGGCCGCCTCGATCCGGGACACGAGCAGCTTGGCGCCCTCGCTTATGGGGATGTCGTCGCCTACGGCTGTCATGCCATATACCTGACGCAAAACAGGTAAACAAGCTGTCAGATGATCTGGCCTTGACGAGAATGATGCAAGGTAGGTAGGCCCGCTTACAGGAGGCCCAGATCGCACGAGGCTGCGGACGTGTTCAGCGCTCGGATAGGGAAAGTTGGGGTGTGTGTGCTTGTTTAGGTTGTCCACAGCGCCGGCGTAGGCGTTGATAATCTTGATCATGTCCTGTGGACAGACTTTTGTCCTCATCCATGTCGACGTGCAGGCCACGAGGCCCTCTGTGTCGAACTGGTTGGAATAGAGCAGATAGCGGCAGAGGGACTCAGCATCATCGGGTTCGTTTGATATGTCCGAGATGATGAACACTCGCGGCTTGGACGGGTAGGTTTGTAGGCGGCTCGCGGTTGAAGCCATTTTGTGACAAGTTCGCGGCGTAGGCGCGAGAATCAGTTTGTGAGGGTTGCTTGGTGCGATCGCTGCTTCACAATCTTCAATTTTGGTACCGAGTTGTTGTCAATCTTAGCCCGAGCTCATCGTTTGACACACATGATATTACACTGGACCGGGTCTTCCTGGTAACATTACTACTACAATTTGTGCTGGTTTTTCCCGGGCAGACGAGGGGAATGCGGGGATGAGAGCCGAACTATTGGGGTCGCGGTGGAGAAAATTCAAGGGGGCCAAGGACAGAGCAAAATACCTGCCTCAACCCTTGGTATTGCCCTGTTCCCGGCGACGTCGGGCTATTGCCTGTTTGGGAGACTGGAAGCGCTTTCCGTGGGAACGAGGTGGGGGAATAATTCATCGAATCAACTGTGTTACTTTTTATATCTGAATGGCTTGGTCCCTGCTAATGTAGCTCCAGTCTAGATATTCATTTACAAATCCACAAACTCGCCGCGAAGGTACTCCCCGCTCTTCAGCCCGTTCAGATAGCCAAGGACCTTTTCGGAAAGAGGCTCGGTCTCGTAGCCAAAGTACTTGTAGGCGGCCGGCCCGGGCAGCGAGTGGCCGAAGCGGCGCAGGCAGACGCCCGCGTCCGCGTAGCGCTCCCAGCCCTGCGGCGCGTACGGCTCGATGACAAGGGCGGGGATCCCCGCGTCACCGTGCCGGCGCAGCGTCTCGCGCCGGTACCCGACCGGCTGCTCGTCGAACAGCCGCCAGCAGGGGAAGCTGACGACGCGCGCGCGCACCCCGTGCTTGGCCGCTAGCTCGGCCGCCACGTCTAGCGCTAGCGTCAGCTCGGCGCCCACGCCGAGCAGCGTCAGGTCCGCGTGAACGCCGTCGTCGTCGACCTCCTGGACCACGTACGCGCCCTTCTCCACGCCGTCCCGCCTGGTGCGCGGCGCCAGCTGCGGCAGCTTGTGGCGCGACGTGGACACTATCGAGGGCCGCGAGCGCTCGCGGATGGCCACCTCCCAAGCCCCGGCCGCCTCCTCGCTGTCGGCGGGCCGCATGTAGAGCAGGTTCGGAGTGGCGCGGAACAGGGTCGCCAGCTCTACGGGCTGGTGCGTCGGGCCGTCCTCGCCCATGCCGATCGAGTCGTGTGTGGCGGCGTGGATGACCTGCAGGCGCTGCAGCGCGCCCATGCGGACCGCGGGCGCGCCGTACAGATAGAACATGAAGAAGGACGACGTGACGGGCACGAACGTCCCCGGGTTGTAGGCCGCGATGCCGTTGGATATGGCGCACATGGCGTGCTCGCGGACGCCGTAGTGGATGTAGCGGCCCGTGTACGAGCCGTTGATGCCGCAGGCGGGCCGTACGTCTGGCTGTAATTGGTTTCGCCGGCGTTAGCGTGACACCATTGAAGACCCTCGTGCGCGCTGCTTACGTTTTGAAAGTCCTCTTTGCCATCCCACGCCATGTGTACCGACGGCGAGAGATCTGCGGTGCCGACGATAAAGGAGTTGAGCTCCTTGGCGATGGGGTTAAGAACGAGCCCCGAGGAGGCCCTCGTGGGCGTCGGCTTATCCGAGAACATGCCGGGGATGTGATCTCTCCAGTTAGCAGGAAGATTCCCCCGGACCCTCCGCCTGAACTCCAAGGCCAGATCGGGGTGCTCCGTCGCATACTGGTCGACGAGCGACCCCCACTCGGCCGCCAGCGCTTCGCCCCGTCGCGGCAGGTCGGAGAAGAAGTCGCGGACGGCCTCGCCAACGACAAAGTACTGGTCCGGATCGAACCCGTTTGCCCGCTTCATGTTGGCCACGTCCTCCTTCCCGAATGCTTGTCCGTGTGCGTCCGCCGTGCCCGCGACCGCGCTGCCAAGTCCAATGACTGTGCGCACATTGATAAAGGTCGGCTTTCCGTCCTGGGGCCGGCGCGAGTCCTCGAGTGCCTTGACCAGTCCCTCGACATCATAACATCCATCCTCCACATCGACGACGCGCCAGCCGCAGGCCCTCATCTTGGCGTTTACATCCTCCGAGTTTGTGAGGTCCACTGAGCCGTCGCAGGTGATCTGGTTGTTGTCGTATATGATGGTGAGGTTGTCGAGACGCAGATGCCCCGCCAGCGATATGGCCTCGAGGGCCACGCCCTCCTGAAGGCAGGCGTCGCCGATCATGCACCAGACGTGGTTCGAGACGACGGGAAAGTTCGGTCGGTTGTAGGTGGCGGCCAGGTTCTTGGTCGCGATGGCGAGGCCCACGGCGTTGGCGACGCCCTGCCCCAGGGGCCCCGTCGTGACCTCGATGCCCTCGTGCTCGATCTCTGGATGACCCGGACAGAGGGCGTCGACACGCTCCGAGTGGTAAGACTTGAGCTGATCGAATGTCATGGCCTTGTAGCCGCTGAGGTGGAGGAACATGTACTGGAAGATGCATGTGTGGCCTACATTGGACCCTCAGCATTGTCCATGCGCGGGCCCATTATACCAAAGTGACAGAAGGGCAGGAAACGTACCGTTGGACAGGACGAAGCGATCGCGATTGAAGTAGTCGGGGCTGTGAGGTGCATACTTCATGGCATATCTCCAAAGAGCTACGCCGATGGCGGCCATGCCTATGGCACCACTGGTGTGTGAGAAGTCGCGAATGTCAGTGAAATTCCCAAGTGACAAGACTGGCGAATTCTTGGCGCAGCCCTTGTCGCTTCCAAACAGCTGTTTCCTACCCCGGGTGACCACCGCCAAACTGCTGGCACAGGTCGGCGACAAGCAACCGGAGGGTCTTGAGGACTATGTCGTGATCCTTGGGCCGAATCGCCAACGTCTTGTTTGCGCCGTGTCCATCGCGGCCGGTGCCCGGTGGCGCTTCAGTCCTCCCCGGTGCCATTTCTCGGTTCGAAATCGTCTTGTAGACCCTAACTAGGCTGTTTCGGATCTAGAATCGCGCTTCCTGCGCGTGTGGCCGTCTGTCGTGAGGCGCTGGGTGTCAGGAACTTTCCATGAGGTCAAGACGACATTGACGAGCGGGAATGCCTATCCGACTGCGATAATACAGGCGCATGGAAAGCCACACAAGGTACCGCCGCTGTGCCTTCAATGCCTTCCCATGACTTAGCCATGACCGGCGATGGGATCCTTGGGCCGCGGCCAGGAGGTTGATCTGGGCGGTTGTTAGTACCCGATTAGGAATGTCCTCATCTTGGAAGACAATCAGGGCTGCGGGGTCACGCGCCCCACCTGTGTTGTGTCGTCAGTTTTGATGGACCGAGTCGGGTGTCAAGTCGCTGCTGCCAGACTTTCCCAAACACGCAAGTACAGCCCCGAAATCCAGCCATTTCCGAGCGCAAACGGCTGCATGGCCCAGCTGCCCCCTTCCCCGCCGCATTTCCATGCAAACACCGAGGGCCGTCCGTGTCGCGCATGAATGTTGATGGGACCGCCTCGGAGCCGGCCGGGGACGGCGCTGGCCCGAGACCGAAGCTGAAGCGAAGCCGTTCCGGGTGTCTAAAGTGCAGGATAAGGAGACGCAAGTGTAAGTCAGTCTTTAGCCAGGGCGGCTTCTGAAAATGACACGGCCGCAGCCATGACAATCAAGCGTATGTGGGCTAACTCGAGGCATCGCGCCGCCATGGTCTAGGCGATGGAGTAAAGCCACGCTGCGAGCGATGCGTCCGCAGCAACCTCGAGTGCAGCTACCCCAGCGGCGTCACATTCAAGGATGCAAACAATATTGGCATTAGCACCTCTCCGAGCACTGGAGCCAGCCATGCCGCATCGCCCGGCTCCTCCAGCTCTCCCTACCCGAGGCTGCAGGTCAGTGGCGCGTTCGACTGGGCCGGGGCAATGAGCCATGTCTGTACGATGCTGACAGACTTCTTTTTTTCAAGTTTCTGCAACCAGGAGTTAGAAGCCGTCGAAGGCAGAAATTGGGATCGCCCACCAGAGTAGCAGCTCCTCAGAAATCCCAGTCCATATTGGTCACACGGCAACAGCCATTAGAGCCCGAAACCGAGATCCTACGGCGATCCGAGAACCATGGGGTAGTTCACGAGCGCGAAATAATCACTAAAGAGAACTCAAGAGGAATCCCAAATGTTGTCTCACCAGCGAGCTCCCACCTGTTGGGAGAGTCCGGGTGTGAACTTCCGCCCGAGCAAGGCAACAGGACGAATGTCGAAGATGATGACGAAAGTACATCAAGTGGAAATCCAATGCCGGCATCATATACGCAGTCTCCTGCGGACGGCTATGAAACCGCGGTCAAGGTGCTTGTATCACTAGGCACTGGTAATGAACCCGAGTATCCTATCACAGTCCGATCAAGGTTCGCAGACGGCCACGCAGAAGTGGAAAGTCGGAGCCCTTGCCCTTTGCCATCTCAGGAATCGCGGCTCTCCTTTCTGTCGAGCGACGCGTTAGACGAGATGCAGACGCTGCAGCTTCTGACACGGTTTCGATATGTAGTTGCCCAATGGGTAAGGAATCCCCACCTCTCATACTCAATTAGGGCGACACACCCGCAAGCTGACGCCAGCACAGCTGGACCTCTGCGACCTGCACCAGACCTTCGGCATTGCCGTTCCCATCATGGCCGCGAGATCGCGACCAGTCCTCGACGCTATGGTGAGCATAGCCACCCTTTCCGGGTCCACGTCGGCAAGTATCGTGCACTGCTCCCGCGGGACACCGCCTTCACTCGAGGACATTGTAGCGGGCGCGCTAGATACCGCCCGCCACTTTGTCGAAGCCACGCCAACTTCATGGCGGGTGCATCTGGCGGAAGAAGACTTCATGCGCCCCGCTCTTGCGTCTTTTCACGACAACCGGATATGGACTCGAGCCATCTGTCTACGTCTGCGCCTGGGTAGGTGGTGTGCGTTTTTCGGTTCGAGAGCTGGTAGGGAGCTAACAAGAGCAACACAGCCCTTGCCTGCGCATTGGCGTCTAGCGGGGAACAAGAGATCCAAGGTGCTGCCATGGCTCGGCTCGACTCCCCGCTAGGTCTGGTAGGCCCAACAGACATCATGTTCGACTGGGCTTGCCGAGCAGTGGTGTTGTGTCTGAAAGCAGTCAATTTCTGCTCGGGAGCCTGTCAGTTTGACTTATCTCGCCCCCAGGCATGGTATGGGCTTGTCGAGGAGCTGGCGAGTTGGCATGCGACCCAGCCCAAGTCTTTCCGCCCATTGATCGATCTAGAATCCACCTCAGGGCCTGCGCCGCCACCGGAGAGCCTCTTCCCGGTCTTGTGCTTCACAAACGGCGCTGCCGTTCTCGGTAACCAACTGTACCACGGGGCGATGCTGCTTCTGCTGCGCAACAAGCCGCGTACAATGCCGCCACACTCGCTGCAGCTATTGGGTGCTGCTCAAAGCTCACAACTTTGGCATGCCCGCCGTGTGTGCGGTATTGCGATGCACAACTCACACGTTGCCTGGTGGGATCCGTGCCTCCTGGCAGTGGTCTATGTCGCAGCGAGCACGATGACCTACGCCCCGCAGCAGCAACAGGTTCTGGAGTGTCTTGAGCGTGTCGGGTACCTTACTGGGTGGCGGGCACAAACCTCGTATTTTTGCGGTGCGCTGGGTCGCGAGTGGGGGATGACAGCGGTCTAGGGGAGAAAGAAGGTTGCTGTGTTTACCGACATCCAAGACGAGCAAGTATCAGCCGGCATCGGTAGGGACTTTGCCTTGTCGGTTGAACTTCTGACTCCTGCCAGCTTGGTAGCCCCAGGCAGCTTCCAGGTCTGGAATCCGCCAGCATGTACCCCACCCCGTCGTTGCCTCGATGTTCCGAAGTAGCTTCACTATGACAGAGTGCTCAGTCGGGTGGCTGAGGAGCCGGCCAGCGATCCATAGCGGCTGGATAGCATTGTTGAGGCAACCTTGGTGTAGATTGGTCTGGGAGATTCCGCATACTCGTTTGGCGTGGTAAATCGCCGACCCCGCTAGTCCTGTCGGGCGTTCACCAGGATCATTGAACCGAGGCAACAGCCCCAGAAGGAGGATGCAGGCGGTGTGATACAGCTGGTTCGACGAGATAGCCGCCCAGTGCACGAAGAGGATGCGCGGGAACGGCGATGTCTCGATTGTCTGGATGGGGCACATCTCCAACGGGCGTTGGTCAAGCCACGCCTGGAGTTCAAGCCAGAGAGAGAGCCACCGTGCCCTGTAAACTTGGTCTGTACAACCATTGGTGTCCCCGAGCTCGACATAGCGGGTGCGCGCGGCGATGAGGCCGCACGCCTTGGAACAAAGAAACACGGAGTAGTTCGCACACATGTCGGGGCTTCCAAGACTCCGAAAGATGTCGCCCGCTCCCTGCAGCTCTGCGCCCGGCGGTAGCCAGCGATGGATAGGAACCAGTGTGTCCTCTAGCCCGTCAGATATCAGGGCTCCGCAGAGATCCATCCTGGCATAGCACCAGAATACAGCCTGAGGCAGTCCGCCGGTGAACCCATGGACTCCGAACGCTTCAAATAGGGCAGCACAACCTTCCAGATGTCTGCGCCAGTCTGGCGCACTTGCCGACATCATCTCGGTGACGCAAAGTACGGTGCAGACCGGAATGACAGCAGGGTCGCGGGCTTCGAGTAGAGGCCCGACGAGCCGGATAGCCTCCTGGTAAAGCTCGAGACTGTCGAATGAATGCCCGGCAGTGGCACTTGAGCGACTGCCGGTCGCGTCTCTCGCTCTCCTTGCCCGCGCAGCCTTGCGCTCCATGTGACGAGCAGACAATGCGAGGACCGAGTAGAGCAACGCGGGAGATGAACGTGCCAGAACAGGGACCTGGATGCCAAAGGCGCGCTCGCTATCGAACATGTCTAGCCAGGGAGCAATCTCGGACACATAGTTGGCCATATATTCAACGTGTCGACCCCGAGATAGTATTGCCGACGTCTGGGCCTGGAGATCGGCGACGTCATTTGGGATGTTGGGCTCTTGGAAGAGCAAGAAACGAGCCGGCGACGCTTCGCGGGTGCTGGCAGCAGGAGATCCCGTCTCTTCTGAGAGCAGCACAGTGTGGACGTGCTCTGCCTCGCCAACACTTGGCCTATCGTCCGGCGTGGCTTCTCTGGTAGGAGCAGCAGTCGCGGCAATTTTGAAGATCAGCGAGCGGAGTTCTTCTTGGAAAGGGAGATATCCCGGGTCCAGTACAAAATCGTCCAGAGTCCAAACGGCCGACGGAGACCAAAAGTCGGGTGCGTTCGTCGAGGCAGGTGTGCTGCCAGGTGGGGCAGTCGCCCTGGTTGAGGAGATTGCAGGTGAATCGTGAGGTTCTTCGCGGCCCGGGCTGAATGGACCGCCGAATGGAAGAGCGGGCGAAGACATGGCGAAAGCCTCTTCTGGTGAAACAGTTGTGGAGGGTGAGAGTGTGTGAGGAGTGTTGGGGGTGAAAAGTTACAGGCGCATGACCGCGGGAGCACGGTGCTAGTACCCACCACCGCACGTGGCAATGCTTTCTCTGCCCGTCAATCAACCTCGAGAGATGGCAAATATTCTCATATTCGCCGGGTATAGACTCTAATCTATCTATCTTCTATCATATGCTAAATGCAGGTACTGGAACAGACCAGAACATATGGTGGTAATCAAAATACTTCACCGCGACATGACTGCGCAATCTCCACTGTCCAGCGTCGTCGCGTAAGAAACGAAAATAACGAAAGCAAAGACTGCATAACAGCCGCCGGGCCTTCTCGAGCCCATGGTATCATTCACACCTTCTCTGATTCCTGCGTTTTCTTTCAGACATTCCTGTCACCCGCGGCGGATGCAGAGTTGCCGATCCCCGGCGCCGACGTGCCCTGCTCCTCGTCGCTGCCGCTTCCCCAATTCGAGACGCGCGGCTTCTCGTCCGAGGACGTGCGCTGGACGGGCTGGGGCGCCTTCTCGCCGGCAGTGACACCAGCCGCGGCACCCTGCCGGATTAGGCCGTACTTGATGGACTGGCCCTCAACCTCCTCGGGCGCGAGGTAGGGCAGTTCGTACGCGGCCTTGACGTACGACATGTTGTCGGAGAAGCCCTTAGCGAAGATGATGTCGATCTCCTCGAGCGAGCGGCGCTTGGTCTCGGGGAAGAAGAAGTAGATAATGGGCACGAAGAGGCCGTTCATGATTGCGAAGAAGACGTAGGTGCCCCAGCTGATGTTGGCGATCATGATGGGCACCACCATGACGACAAGGAAGTTGAACAGCCAGTTGGTGCACGTGCTCACTGCGTTGGCCTTTGCGCGCGTCTTGATCGGGTTCACCTCGGCCGGGTAGAGCCACGGGAGAGGCAGCCACGTCGCGCCGAAGAAGGCGATGTAGGTGAACAGGCCGACGGCCGCGCCCTTGGCAGCCTCCTCGGTGCCGGGGATCAGGCACGCAAAGACGAGGACCATGGACAGGCACTGGCCCACGCTCCCGATGAGGAAGAGCAGCCGGCGGCCGGCGCGCTCGATGACGAACCAGGAGGTGGTGGCGAAGATTGCGTAGACGATCATGTTGACGCCGCCGAGCAGCAGCGCCATCTCGTGCGTCTCGTTGAGGCTCTTCTGGAACAGGATGGGGAAGTAGTAGATGACGGCGTTGCAGCCGCCGATCTGCTGCATGAGCTGCGACCCGGAGCCCAGCAGGACGCGCCGCAGATGCTGCGTCGGCCCGCCAGTGAGGAGCGCCTTGAAGGGCGTGCTCTTCTGGCCCGAGAAGCCCGAGGCCTTGATGCTGTCGACGATCAGGTCGCGCTCCTGGGCGGTCTCGGCCGAGTCGAGCTCGTAGCCCCTGAGGGCCGCGATGACGCGGTCCGCCTCCTCGACGCGGTCGTGGGTCAGCAGCCATCGGGGGGAGTCGGGCAGGAAGATCATGGGCACCGCCACTAGGAGGGCGAAGATGAGCTGGAAGGCGATCGGGAAGCGCCACACCAGGTCGTCCGGGCCGAAGCTTGCTCCGTAGTCGAGCCAATACGCGATGACAGTGCCGAACGCGATGGTGCCGCCCTGGATGCAAATAAGCAGGCCGCGGTTGGACGTTTTGCTGCACTCGGCCTGATATGTTGGAATCGTCGAGGTGTTGATACCGTTGCCCACGCCCATAACCGTTCTTCCGATGATGAACTGCGCCAACGGAGCTTGACTGGGCTTGAGTGTCAAGACCTGGATCACTACGCCGAATGCCATGATGATCGCACCAAGGATCATGGCCTTTCGCCTTCCCAGAAGATCGCCTATCCAAAGGATAAACATGGCTCCTGCTAAGCATCCGATCTCATAAATGGCTTCATTGGAGACATTCTTCGTTAGCACAACTCCTTCATACCTCCCCGGATCTGAAAAGGCACATGCCAGTCACGAAACCCTGCATCGTCGGGTTGTCCCGCGTCTCTGGAAAGTAGTCATTGAATGCGGGAGCTGAGATGATGCCGCTCATAACTCTGGGGAGCAGCAGCGAGCCATGTTAGCTCCACCTGGTCGATAGACATTGGCGTTTTCCAGAGCGAGAACTTACCCTTGGTCGTATCCGAACAACAGGAAGCCCGTCGTCGCGACGGCCGAGACGGTCACCGACAACGGGCGCCCAGTGAGGCCCATGAACCTGGGCGGCGCCATGTTTTCGTTGCAGGCTTGTTCCGAGTGATCCCTCCTGTCGTTTGCGCGGACTTGGGTATCCAGAACAGACAAGACCGAGGCCGGAATGTGTCGATGAATATTTTCGAGGGTCTTCCCCCAACGATCTACAATGGGGAGAGTCCCCTTATATACAGCTAGTGTGTTGGGTCGATCGTCCCCCCATCACCCTGATTTTTCTCCACCATATCCTCCGCCGTTTCCTGCTCAGGTTTCTTCATTGCTGCTTGTCTTGGCGTGTGTATCCAGTCCTCCACTAGCCTAGTGTGATGCCCTACGTAGCACTGTGAAGCAGGCAGGCCGAAGGCAATCTTCCGGGAATGCACGAGGGACTCGACTCGCGGCTCGACGGTTATGTCGCATCAAGGCCAAGATCTGATGTTCGGAGGAGATGAGGATCTCTGGATCTCTGGGTCCAACATATCAGATTTTCCTTTGGGCGATACAGTGACAGGGCAGGATGGGGGGCACTTTGCCAATGGTCGTCATACTGGGTCCCCTCAGTGGACGGAGGCTCCGTCGGCGACGTTGGGTGCCACTGTTAGTGGTTGGCAGCTGAGAGAATGCTTGTCAGGTTGGCCCCACCTCCAACGCGGCCCCAGTCCCACCACTGGGCAGGCCCAATAAGGTCATCCCGTGGACCCGGCCCCTTCGCGGAGCGGGAACCCCTCGGCTGCAGCGGCAAGCATGGTGGTAAGCTGCCGGTACTTGGTGCCCTGGCACACACAGCCTAAGATTGGCCGCCCGTGTCTTGGGCAAGTCTTGATAGCAGTCAAGAGTTGCGTGGCAGTGCGCAGGGCTGGGCGAGCACGAGTCGACAATTCCACTAAACTGCCCGCCACCAACCCCTCGACCACAACACGCCAGACCCTCGCACAAGCAAAGAGTGAGGGAGCACACGGAAGGATCGACGTAGGCAAAGCGCAAAGTTAGGTATACAGGGGGTGTGGGCAGCGAGCGAACTGTTCACACCGACGACACCCTCATGAATGATAGGATGTGACGCCCAAAAGCAGTGTATTCAACACAGTGGCCCCAACAGAAAAGGAAAGACGCACCGAAGCATGCATAGGGGTCTAATGCCGGCCCAGCAGCCCCCGCCATCTCACATGCTGTCCGAGGTAGGCCCGTGGAAGCGCAAATGCTGACGGAGTGATGCTGCACGCAGGCCACGAAGGAACGGATAAGGGGAAAGAAATTTCCCCCTATCTTGGGGTATCCGGCCATTCCATTTTATTCCCCACGCCGGAGGGATCATCTTTACGTCATTGCCAGTTTCCTGGACTGTGCAACTGGGGCGCGCTGCTTAGCCCAGATACCGGTCCTCACAACTCACATGCACATATGTTTGCCTAGAGGAAGAGAAATTCACACCTGATAACTATGGCTCCGGAGCATGACGGCGGAAGGAGGTGTGAGCTCGGCTGGCTTGACCGAGGTTTGCGGCGTGGCTCTGGGAGACCACTCACGAAAAAGAAAACGGCTAGGAGAAGAGAATATTAAGATCGATTCGATGCCAGCCCCAAAAAAAGAAAAGGAACTCCGGAACATGCTCGCCGAGTGATAATTTCCCAAAAAAAGACACAATTTAACTCCTACATGACTAGATATGCGGCCCGAACAACCCCGACGAAGACATTCCGCTATGCGGCATCTACAGCGGCCCACACTTGGGTGTGAAATAGGTGTATATGTACTGTGATGGGTAGTGGTGTATAGTGTTGTCGATTATCGTTATCGTGGTGTTTCGGCTCGGTGGAATGGACGAGAGTGCACACTTATAGGCGACGGTTGATGCGTCGTGGCACTGTTCAGTATCGAGGGCGGCACATGTGGAGAGTTTGGCGCCTCGACAAGGTACGCCATCTCGTCCGCCGTGCCAGGTAGCTGGTGAATGCCTGTTGAGTGTGGCGCCTCGTACACCTGGGGCTTGTCCTCGGCGGCGCCCCCGTACAGTGGCGGAAACCGCGGATGCATTGGGGAAGGCGTGGGCGACGAGAACACGGACGGATGGAGGAGATGGTGTTCGTCGGGCTTTGGGCGCGATGGTTGCGGTTCCTGGCGCTGGAAATTGTCTCTGAGGTCGGCCAGTTCGGCACGTGCGGCCGCCGCTTCCCGGCGCGCCTTTCGACACAGAAACAATGAGCCTATGAGCGCGCACGTGAGGGGAAGACACAGGCCAAGGCCAACGCCGAGACCGACCGTGGTCGCCAACCTCCTGTCCGAGTCCTCGACTTGTTCTCGGCCGGCTGCGGTGGCGGCAGCCAGGGCAGTCGCAAGCGCAGTGCCGTCAGGGGACGCAGTGGTCGTGACCGTCGCCGTGGCGGCGCCACCACGGGCGGCGGTGACGAAGGGTGGAGGGCCTCTCCCGGACCAACCCGGTGAGCCCCCACCACCACCAGAACTGGAGTCTGCGACGCATGTGCCGGCCTGCAGGATGCCGTTCTGCGAGAATGGGCGCTCGTCGCGAATCTGACCCATCGGCACGGTGAAGTTTCGGCTGCAGTCGTCGGTACGTGAGCCGCAGATCCAGTGGTCAGCGCTGCCCGAGCATTGGCGCAGCTCTGAGGCAGAGTCTTGCTGTTCGGTTGTGCACCATCGCGGGCAGAGATCGCTATTCCAGCTTTTATCGGTGCAGGAAACACGGGCTATTTGGTTGGATGTGGGATTCCAGCATAGACCGTTGCTCAGACAGGCTAAGTCCAGAAAAAATGATTGGGTCAGTGATGTCGTTTTAGATGCCGCTAAGTAGAATTCGGGCTGCAACAAGGATGCATTGGTGCTATTGGAGGGCCTCGGAGTGAGTATTATATCACCTACTTTGACTTGGTTCGCAGCAAGAGCTAGCAGCGCCGCTACCGCATGCGATTCCCCTTTCATGAATCTTGCCGCCTGGGAAAAAGCACTGCGTGTTGTTGTTTTGCTGGCCCTGTTGCCCTTGTACCACAACCGCCCGAACGAACAGGACGAAGAGGAGGAAGGCTTGCATGAGGCCGCCCCACAGAGGGAGAATGAGAAAGAAATAAGAGGAGAGATTTTGTGAAATATGTTTGGAGAGTTCGCACAAGGAATTGCGTGCAATATGTGCTTGAAGGAACGCTTGGCGCTCTAAAAGGTAGGAAGGATACGGATGCGGTAGGAGATGCGGTAGGATGAGTTCGGAGGCATAAACTCATCCTCTCGATGGCCGGGCCGTCCCTAGAGGTCTTGATATATACCATACTGGTGTGTGAAACGCGTCCTTCCGTCCCATCCATGGTGGGTGGCTAGGCCGCTTTGTGCGACCACGGCAGGTCAGCCAACGGCAGCATCTAACGTGCCGTGCCACAATAGAACCAGATTGTGCCCCTGCATTTGGTGGCGTTGGTGCTTCTTTCCCAAGAGTTCGATGCAGCTCGTGCCAAACGGGAGAGGGTGCGCAGTAGCGGCATCGCCTTGGGTGCATCCAACAACGGACCAGCCCCCTGTCAGGAACAGTGAGCAGGCCAAAATAAGCAGCCAGGGCAGTGTGGGGTTCGCAGGTTCGGGACCGCGCCGAAAATGATGCTCAGGGCCGCAAGATCACACGGCGAGATTGCAGCGACACAAGTATCTCGGGACCGACGCTGGGCCTCCCGGCTGCATGCTGCAGCAGCAAGCCGCCTTTATCCGGCTGGGCCAGCATCGCGCCCCACGCTTCGCCTCTCTGACGCCACACACACACGGGCCTGCGCCTGGTGGGAGGAGCGGGAGGCTCTCGCTCGTCTATTATAGCAGTTCATTCCACGACTGCTGACTATACCGGGAGGATCATGATGTGCCGGACGGGTGTTTGCTTTCGCAAGTCGTCGCACACGATCCGACACGCATGTAAGCGGCGAGTGTAGTGACCGCAAAAGCAAGCAGGAGGGATTGTGGCAAGAGGACGATGAAGATGGCCAAAAGACCCAGGCCAGGAAGGGTGGGGGGAGTTGAACTTTAGTGAAGGTTACTACCTAGATAGTGGTAGCTGACACAGGCGATCAATGTGCGCAGGCCGATGTATATAACGGCACCACACTGTTGGCGCTACTGGAAGCGCCCGTGAGGCTCAGCTTGGTGCGGGTTAGACGGTGGTGGTGGTGCCCGAATGCTACCCCAGAAAAACGACCCGGATCCGGGGTTCACTGAACGGGACCGTGAGCTATCGGTGCGGCATCAGGAAGGAGACTGCCAACATCACCGACTTGATAAATGGAATGCTCCTAGGGCGTTCTACACAGGCAGATGTCTCAGGCATAAGCATTAGCCATGTTTTGTTGGTTCTGGAAACACTGGCACTCCTAGTCAGGAGGGACATCAACGAACGCCGAGCGACGGCTCACGCCCACCGATACACCCACCTTCACCACAAAAAGAAGGGAGGGGAAAAATTGAAACATCAAAAAATAGAAGAAGAAAAAGATAAGAACAATGAATGCGATTCAAGTCCCAAGGTCCAGAAGGTTGGAGAAGGGTCATTGTGACGACAGACTCGACGAACACGCGTCTGATTCGTAGACATAAATGGAAGCTTTTGTTTACGAATCGGAGGCCGCGCCTTCTCCACAACACCACCATCACGTGGACAGTCAGGTGCCAGGCACTCAGCGGCGAACTGGAGGGAGGGTGGGGCCGTGCACGCGCCCTGCTGGTTGCGGCACGCTGCTTCTGGCGAATCGCTGCGGGCGAGGACAGCTGTTACTGGCTCCAGTGAATGGGCTCCACCTGGAGTCGAGAGGCCCAGCCCAGTGCCTCAACTTTTCGCCATGGATTTTCTCAAGGCACAAATCCAAACCTGAAGCTTCCCATTCAGTCTTTCGCACTCCGTTTACTTTCTAAACTACGCGCAAAATCCAAAAAATTCCAGCAAGCCTGCACAACTCTGTTCCAGACCTTTGACAGCGACCAAGCATCTTCGCCCTCACTGTCTCGCAACCCTCCCATCCACATTTGCCCTTCCGGAGACCCCTGTATCCGTCGCCATCATCGTCGCACGTTTTGCCGGGGCAAAATATCGCGATAAGTTTTAGCTCGGAAGCTTCTTTCTCAACACAGCCCCCGACTGCTGCTTCGCGTGTGCGTCCTGGTCCGCCCGCGCTGTGCCCCAGCGATTGCGAAGTTTCCGGCCCTTGTCGTGCTCACAGCCTGACTTCCATTACAGTTGCCAATCGGCCTTCACGAGCAACAGCATTCGAAATGCCCTCCCAACTCCCATCGAGCTTCGCATCAGCGGCCGCTGGCCAATCGAGCCGCGATTCTAGAGGCGGGCGTGACGGTCGCGGAGGTGGCAGCGGAGAGTGGTGTGTGCTTGCCTACCCCTTGAACGCGATGCGGCGGGGGTGTCGACCCCGTCATGGGGCCATCTAAACGCGCCTTCCCCGCAGGAGCCTCGAGCTAACGCGTGCCCGTTTGTGCTACTTCTAGGTCTCGGCGTGATGGTCGGTCGACCAACGGCACCATGACCTTCCGCCGCTCATCAACCACTCCTTTCAACAACCAGTCCACGTCGCAGCCACCCCCGCCAGCCGACGGCCCCGCACCCCAGGCACAGCCCACCCCGGCCGACGCCGTTCCTTTCGACGGATCTCTCCGGTATACTAAGGAGCAACTACTAGAGATCTACAAGGTGTCTGATACAGGTACTGCCGCCAACGTGGAGAGCTTGTTTGTCGCTGGCTGGACCCCAGCGCCTGTCAGCGGGAGCGCGGCCAGGAACTGGGGAAAGGGCAACGAGAGCCATGTTCCCCAAGACCCCAGCGTATGCTGGGACACCAGCGGCACGGTCAAGCCTATCGGTTTGCAGGATATGTCGGCTGAGGAGAAGGAGGTGCGTCATCGTCTTGTTCGTGTGATCCTTCGCAACCGCCATGTTGCCAAGAGGCTCACTCGTCGCATGGGTGCAGCCGGCGCTTTCTGGCTAACATTTCACCTTATCAACAGCTGTTCAACTCCGATGTCAACTCCACAATAAAGCCGCCACAGCAAAACAAGGACGGGCCCCATCAGGGGGGAGGCCTCAACGGACGCAAGGCATCCGTCTCTCATGGCAGCGCCTTTGTGACCTCGTCCCCCTCGACCGCATCGCGACCGGGAACTCGACGCCGAGAGACTGGCGACGCGAGCCCATTCCCCGTCGACGGTCTTGTCTCGCCGACCGGAAATCGATTCGCGCGCGGCGACTCGTCGTCATGGTTTGGTCGCCGGAGCCTCGAGGAAAAGGAGGACACGTTCGAGGAACCGGCGGAGGATCTGTCGGCTATCAATCGAGAGGCACCCCCTTCGCGATCGACCGGATTTGGGGCGCTTTCGCGCTCCAACACCGCCGGCACAACCGGCTCGGGCGCGTCTGGGTTTGCAAATTTGTGGGGTGCGCCCTCTGCGCCCGCGGCAGGTCCATCTGCCATGGGTAGCTTTGGCAACTTTTCGATGACGGCCTCTGCGATTGGCGACAAACGCTTCACGGGCGCACGAGAGAGCCGTCTCGCGCACCTGATACCCAAGGATAACGCTGCCTCCCCCGTGGATGGCTCTTCTTTTCCTCCAAAGGGAAACGAGGCCGCAGCAGCCGAGCCCGGCCGATCCTGGCGCCCGCGTCCTCGGACCGACACTGACCCGTTTGGAGAAGACAGCGGTAACCTCGGCTCCCTTCGCGAGGGCACTAGCCCGTCCCCTCAGCAGGTGGGGGGCCCGCGCGGAACCATCTTCGAAACCCCCGTGAAGGGCTCGGCGGGTGACTTCGGGATGTCGGGTCTGAACCTTGGTGGACAGAAGGAGGAAACGGGCACCCCCGAGACGAACCCCTACCGTAGCCCACCTGCCGAACGCGGAGACGATGAAGCGGGTGGCGGCGATTTTGGCCCAGGACATACTCATGGCCAAGGCGCGGATCAGCCCTCGGGGTTTGGCGCGATCGCCCGCGGATTCGCTGCAGCAAATATCGAGGGAAGTGCAGGTGATCGCAGCCAAACTTCGAGTGTTGGGGCGAACAAGGGCTTCCATCCCCTCAATACCCTGACGGGCTGGCCTTCTGGACTAACCTCGGGCACTCCTGACCGAGAGCGCTCCGGCTTCCCGAACCCGTTTGGCAACTCCATCTTCAGCCCCGACATTCAGTCTCCCGCAGGTGGGTTGTCAGGCATAGGCAACGTCTTTAGTCCCGCCAGCGCGGGTGGCTCGCTCCGTGGGGGCTCCAAGCTTGGATCACTATTTCCTGCCGCCATGCAGGCGCAGATGCAGGTGCCTGACCACGAGGGGCTCGCCGATCCTCTTGCGGATTTCCGGCAGGTGAACCCTTTGGGCGCCATTGGCCGCAGTGCTACCGGCCCCCAGCCCCGGGAGACGGACAGTCCACTGCGTGGTGGCCGCTCCGGCATGTTTGAGGAGCTCTTCCCAACATCTGATGCGGCCCGGGCCCAAGGCCTATTCTCCACAGCCGAGCCTTCCCAGGGTCTGACGTCCACCAGCCAGTCGCAGCCCTTCGCCGCTGTCACATCAACCCCGTCGTTCCCTGGTATGCATGCCCAGAGCGACACTCCCCCTTCGCAAACCCAAGCGCGGACAATGGTAATGCCCGATCGTATGAGGTGGGTGTACCTAGATCCCCAGGGAAGCACTCAAGGGCCTTTCACTGGCTTGGAGATGAATGATTGGTACAAGGCCAACTTCTTCACCCCTGACCTCAGAGTCAAGCGGATTGAAGACGACGACTTCGAGCCACTGGGCCAGCTCATCCGTCGCATCGGCAACTCCCGCGAGCCATTCCTCGTGCCTCAGATTGGCGTCGCCCATGGGCCGCCGTCGCAGGCTGGTCCCTTCTCGCAAGGTGACGCCCGCGGGGTCATTCCTCCCCTTGTGGGTGCGTTCCCGAGTTTCGGACGCACACTCACAGCCGAGGAACAGAACAATCTGGAGCGGCGCAAGCAGGAGGAGCAATTCTTGATGCACCGCCAGCGCGAGTTTATGGCCCAGCAGCAACAGGTGTTTACCAAGATGGCAATGCAGGGTGGTGCTCCAGGCGTCCTCCACCATCACTCGAGCGCTCACAGCCTGCAGAGTCAGCCTAGCTTCAGCAGCATGACGTCCCCCATTGGCATGCCTCCTCAAGCGACCATCGGCACCATTGGAGCCCCAGCCGTCGGACCCTCCTATTTCGATGGCACCACCCAGGGCCTCCCGCAGTCGGGTCTCACCGCTGCCCCGACGGATATCTTTCAAAATGATTTGAACGTCCAGGAGCGCCAGATGCTCGTGAACCTTCAAGGTGGCGCCGGTGTGCTCCCCAACATCCTCCAGTCTCAGCGCCTGGCTGCCGGCAATGTCACCTCTGCCCCCAGTAACCCTTCCCTGGACGCCAGCCTTCGCAGCCAGCTCCCTGGTGTTGATCAGCTCCAGCAGGACTCCCAGGGCTTTAGCGCTAGGCTGAAAGAGTTCCAGGAAATTCGCGCCCAGAGAGATGCCGAAGAGTCTGGGGAGCCCGCAGCAGCTACTGCGAAGCCCATTTCGCCCGATGAGGCTACTGCCGAGGAGACCGCAACCAAGGCATCGGCCCCGCAAGACGCGGCGCAGATCGCTGAAGAGGTTGCTAAAGCCCAACAGGATCAGAACAAGAAGGCCGCGGCTCAGGCGCAGGCTATGCTTTCCCTTACGCAGCAGGTTCAGAAGACACAAGCCGCTGCTGCCAAGCAGGCCCAGCCACTTGAAAGCGGCATTTTGATGCCATTCCCACCCCCTGCTGGCGCGCCGCTTGCTGCACCAACCGCCCAGAGGACCCGTTCAACACTGCCGGATCAGTTTGCTGTCAGCCGCTCCCACTCGGGCACTCCCGAGAGCGCTACTCAGACGGCCCCACCGCTTGCTCCTTGGGCCCGCGCCGAGCCCGAGCAGCAGAAGGGACCCAACTTCCGTGAGATCCAAGAGGCCGAGGCAAAGAAGTCCGCTCGCGCCGAGATTGCTGCCGCTGCCGCCCGCCGCGCGGTACTTGAGCAGGAGGCTGCTCTCGCCCGCGAGCGCGAAAAGACGGCCGTGAGTGGCGCTGCTCCCATTCTTCCGACCTCGAGCACATGGGGCAGCGGCTCTCCCGTAACCCCTTCAGCTTCTGCCAGCGCCTGGGCTAAACCTGCCGCCGGTGGAGCCAAGGGCGGCAACGCTACTCCCATCACGGGGCCTACGGCCGCTGCGACCAATGCTGAGAGGAAGAAGACCCTGGCCGAGATTCAGCGCGAGGAGGAGGTTCGTAAGCAACGTCTCGCCAAGGCCCAGGAGCAGGCCGCCGCCGCCACCGCGGCGGCTATCATCAACAACAACAATATGGGCAAGCGCTATGCCGATTTGGCCAGCAAGGTTGGCCAGCCTGGCGGAGCCCCGGTGAGCGCTGCGGCTGCCGTTGCGGGCGGACCCCCGGGCGCTGGCTGGGCAACGGTTGGCGCGGGTGGAAAGGTCAAGGTGCCCACTGGTCCTTCGGGGCAGCAGCAGGCCGTCCGTACTGCCAGCTCTGGGGCCGCCAAGCCTGCTACCACTGTGGTGGCCACCAAACCTGTCCTCTCTCGACCCAGCGTGACGCCTGCCGCTAAGCCTGATACACTCGGTGCTGCCATGGAAGAGTTCAACAAGTGGCTTCGCCGTGAGCTGGGCCGCGGCATCGCCAGCGGAATTGACAGTAGGTTGCATCCTTGCTGCCCTGCCGACTTTCGCTTTGTCATGTTCTCATCCCCTCGCTAACAACGTGCCCCGCAGTCGATACCTTTGCCTCGACATTGCTTGTACTCCCGCTCGACCAAACACTCATCTCCGATGCGGTGTATGCCAGCTCCACGACCATGGACGGCCGCCACTTCGCCGAGGAGTTTGTTCGGCGCAAGAAGCTTGCCGACAAGGGGGTGGTAGAGAAGCAGCCCGCGGGCGGTCGCGGCGGTGCCAGTGGCCCTGGAGCTTCGTCGGCTACCAACTCTGATAAGGGCTGGAGTGAGGTCGCCAAGAAGAGCAGCGGTGGCGCTGCTGCAACCAACGGCGGCAACACAGGCAGCGAGGGCGCCATTCAGGGCGCCGGGTTCAAGGTGGTGCCCGGCCGCAAGCGTGGCAAGAAATAATCTAGTCGCTCGAGATCTGCGTTGACGGTTTGTATACTTGGCGGCTCAGGGGCATGCACGGAACACGGTTGGTGAGCTTTTTGCGCCAAAGTACCACCCAAAACATCTGTCTCCTCTCGTCACTACCGCTTGATACACCGTCATGCTAGCAATAGAGCTTCGAGTTCTCACGTCCTGCCCTGTAACCCTGTCGGTTTTGACATATGTAGCAAGCAAGTTTTTGTCATAACATCATCTGAGGAGCCCGCTATCATGATTCACTGTGCGTTTGGATCCCTTGTCTACCCAGGTACGTAGCTGGTGTTGTGCTTCTGGAGCAGCACGGAACGAAGAGAATGCTCTCGATAGAAAAAAAAAAGGAAAGAAATAGCAGCGAGCGGTTTGAGAAATTAGAAGCGTGTATAAGCTGGCTGTGAAGTAGCCTGCTGGGCGCTTACGCTCCCACACAGGAATTACTCTAGTGGGCTGTGGCGCATTAATTGGAGGCATGGTCTTGGCTTGAGAATTGCCCGGTTTGGAGTTGCGAAGCCGCTTTTTGCATGTACCCTAAGACGATAGTAGTCGGAGGCGCTGCCGACACGTTCTCCGGATCGTGCCATCTATCGGCGTTGCCCGGGTTTGATGACTTGCCTGATGCGCCCTGTGGCGGCCTGATTGACGCTTGAGAATCCTCCCACGCGGGAAACGAAAACTGGTCCAGAAAGATCCAGGATGGGAAGAAATCCCTGCCGACAAAGACCCCAAGAGGCGGTTGTGCTGCTTGGGCATGC